TACATTGTAATGCAAATTACCTGCCCCAGAGTAGGGGAAGTACTCACACCTATGGGTACTTCCCAGTACTTACCCACCTATGAATAATCCCAGCAGTATTAAGACTCATAATCCCAGCCTTGGATCACACATAATCCCAGTGGATCATGAGTTAACACAAATTCTAGAAGTCCTCACCCCATGACTGCATGAGGCTTTGTGGGGACAACTAGACACAAACCATAACACACTGAGTTGCTAAATTGCTTAGACTGGGCTTCTGTCTCAGCTTCCTAGAGTGCTGGGATTACGGGACTGTGCCTCTGTGTGCCTTTGTTACCTCTTAATGCCTAATTACAATGTCATCTAGGAGAAGCCCTTTCTAATTGCCCAGAAGTACTCAATCCATGTTTCCATGGATTGAGTACTTCCACAACTTTTTCCAACACAGAAAGGTACACACCCCTCTCCTACAGGCTTCCAAAAGCACTAATTTTGCTATACAATAAATGGCTAGCACTTTGTTCCTGTGTTTGTTTTTATCACATGCTACTGGCTTTGAGTCCTCCTTATTTAGGCTGTATTCCTATTCACAAAGTGCCTGTCATCATGTCCTTAGGATGTGATATAATGTCCCAAGTATCTTTACTCTTTAGTGTGCAACTAATGAAAGATGAAGAGGATAGAAAACTGTGCAGGGAGGGCCAGCTAGATAGCTCAGCGGACCAACGCGCCTGCTTAGGCAGAGCGCAGCTGTGCCCATTTCAGGCAAATTAGATGGAATGAGAGAATATACTGTAAGAGCTGTAGCTTTGGAGTTGCCCCTGGATCTAAGGATCTAAAGATAACCTCTCTGGTCTTTGTTTTCTTTGGTGTGCACTTGAAATAAAAGTGCAAATCCTGCCAAATAACTGATGATTTAACAGCCTTCCAAAAGCACTAATTTTGTTGTATAAGAAATGGCTAGGTGTGGTGGCACATGCTTTAACCCCAGCATTTGGGAGGCAGAGGCAGGAGGGCTGCTTCAAGGCCAGCCTGGGCTACCTTCAGCAGCCTGAACTGCATAGCAAAACACTTGTCTCAAAAGGACAAAATATAAATGATCACTATGATTAGAATAGGGACTATTGATTAAAACTTCCACAACTTTTTCCAACACAGAAAGGTACACACCCCTCTCCTACAAAAGCAGCTAATACAGCAACATCTTGCAAGGATGGGGAGTGAGGTGCCTTAGTCTGTCCCAGGGACCTTCTGTGCTACTCTCATTAATGGCCCCATCCATTCAGAACACAACTGAAATCTCAATAAACTAATAAGTAAGGCCATCCTTAATGTTACCTGTCTAGCTTTTGATGTTGCGAAGCATCCCTTTATCTAGGGATATAAAGGCACAAGCAACGTTACAGAAGCAAAACAACATGGTTAAACAGTTTTTCAGTTTTTTGAGGATAGGGTCTCACTAGCCTAGGCTGGCCTTGAGCTCACCAGGATCCTCCTGCCTTAACTTTCTAGATGCTGGGACTACAAGTGTGCACTACCACGCACAGCATCATTTTGTGCACATGTGCCATTTTGACCTCAGATTTCTATTCCTTGAATTTCATTTTCTTTCTTTTTTTTTGGCGGAACCGGGGATTGAACTCAGGCCCTTGCACTTGCCAGAGAACCATTTATTCTACTAAGTTATCTCTCCGGTCCCTCTCTCTTTTGATGCCCTATATGTATAACCTTATAGGGCACCATTATCTCCTAGAGTTCTGTATCTGTGGAGTTGGGTAGAAGCTCTTCTGGTAACTGTAGTCTGTAAATCATCATGGTTCCCAGAATGCAGGGTTCTATTGTCATGAGCAACAAAAGGGTCAGAGGGGCCCACCAAGGGCAATAGCCATGATGTCCATTGGCCTGGGCTCCAGCTTCAGCCCTCTCTTACTTCTCTTTTGGCTCCTTTTCTCAACTCTGACCTTTATGGTAACTACTTGATTGGTTGACATAATAACATTTCTCTCACAAAAATATACAAAGCACCCTTTTGCTGAAAAGGTCTAGGGCATGCCTGTTTTGTTGAGGTACAGCTGCCAGTGAATTGATCTGCTGCAGGGAGACTAGTGAGCCAGACAACTGCTCTCCACATCATCATCTGGCTCCTGAGACAGCTTATAATGTAACCCTACTGATGTCCTCACTGCCCCTACTCTTGTAGCTGTTCCTGAGCTGATTAGAACCAAGGCTAGTAGGACTGCTTTTTGTTTTTGTTTTGTTTTCCGTGAGCTGCTGCCAGGGAGTATCTTTGTAAAATGAGACTTCAGGGGTGAGGAAAACTAGGACATATGCCAGTGTGGTTTCTCTGTAAGTAGAGGAAGGCAGTGTTTCCACACAGGAAAGGAGGGGCT